TTCTCCGTGGCATGCAGAAGCCAGGTAGCACCTCCCGCTCAAAGAGACCCAAGGTCTAAGGGGCGGAGGCCTACCTCTTTGAAGCGTCCCAGCTCATGGGCCTCAGTGAGCTTTGCGAAGCGTTGCCGAAATGTGCCAGGAGCAAAGGGCCAAAGAAATTGGGCCCTGTGCTTCCTGGCAAACGCAAGCGAAACCACTCTCATCAGCTCCGGGTGGTCCAGCTTCAAGGTTTGGTGACGGGCGGCGGTGTTTCGTGTTTTTGGTTCCTTGATAGCCAGCAGGATGTAGTCGATGGTGCCCTGCACATCCAAAGGGAGGCCCAGATCCCCTCGGGTCGCCGCGAACAACTCCCCAATGCGTCCAAGGCCTCCCCAGGCAAGTGCCATCATACCAGCCACATCTAACCAGCCCCAAAACAAAGAGGCCGTGATCAGCGCCGGTAGCACCTGCCATGGCATAGCTTGGTGATGGATGTGGGGCTCCAGTCGTTGCCATTGAAAAGCTACGTCCCAGGCTGGTTGAAGGAGTCTCCTTATCTTTGGCAGTTTGCTGGCAAGGGCATTCACAGTCTCAGAGTAATGGTTGTAGGGCCTTCCAGCCTCATAGAGGGCCCTTCCGTATCTCGACATCACAGCGTTTATGACGTCAACGTCAACCGGGCCCTCTGATACAAACGTCTCCTCAGGGATAGCTTCAGCTCGGCACCAAGCCATGAAAGCATTCCATAAGGAGTCCCTTGCAGACTGTGTGGCTTTCTCGACTGGCCTTCCAGCCGGGAGTGGCCGACCAATTCTTCCCTCTAGCCGGTTCCAGTCCCCGACATTTCTGGGCTCAAGGCTTCCATGGCGGCAAGGCCTGGTGAGGCAGGACCTTCGCCGGGAAAGCCGCAAGAAGCATCGAAGTCCAACAGGGGAGGCCGGTAAAGCAGGGCAGGAACCTTAGCGAAACGATCCTCGGGTAGAGGAGGCAAGCAATGGCTGGAGAGAAGGACGAGGCGGGCCCAATTCGCAGCCCAACGCCTCAGGCGAGGAAGGGAAGCCAAGGCCTCGGAGGGGAGCTTCTCATACAACGACGGCCCTTGCTCTAATATAGAAGCATGCCTCGAGGGGGCATCAGCAGGCATAAGGCGAGTGGGGGTTGAACGGGAGGGCACCGTAAAGTC